AGGGGAGACCTAGCGAGCAAGCGCCAGTCCTCCTTTGCCGCTCCCTCCCCGCGGGACCCGTCCCGCGCTGCTTTGCCTTTTGTTCTTTCTTTTTCCTTTTCTCCTACCAGATTTTTGGCGTCTTTATCTTTTGAAGAGGGCGATCATCTGTTGGAGTTCCGCAAGTGCTCTGGTTGGCTGAGTGGGTCTGTAGATGTGGGTCTTGGTGTATTTGTGGGAGAGGGTGACTTACAAGCGTCCTTCTACTCCGCCATCTTCAAAAGGGAAATTTCATCTGAAGATGTTACGTATCATATACATCTGATCGCAGTATCAAAGAATGAGCTCAGTTTCCACTCAGGTCATTCTATGGACCATATATATATATATAAATCTTATTTATCTTTCCAATTCTGACTATTTCTCATCAAATTTAAATGGTTGAGAAAGGTAAACCACCACTTACGGTTTCTTTGAAGGAGGAGTTTAGCCAGCGATTATTTACTACATTCTGTATGGATGTGGGTGGGTTTTCTAAATCTTCAAAGGAATCCATCAATATAAAATCCAGAACAACATCATAAAAATTGAGATTTTTCACCTGCATTAAATTATGAGTTAAAACAGAGATTAATACTACATAGAGTTGAAATAAAGTCTGAGTTAAGGCTTCACACATTATAAGAGCAGGGTGTTTTCAGTGGAATCAGATTGTCTCTCCGACCAAAAAAGAGGAAGGGAAGAGGCAACTATGGAAACAACGCACCACCAGAAGCTACAATTTACCTGACGGCTGCTCCTTCCCAGACGCCATCAGGTGAAGTGAACCTCTCCCCCCACTCTATCCTGGGAGTCCGCTGTTCGTGCTTTTATTATGGTATCCACAATGCTCACTGTGCGCTGTCACTTAGTTACTGGTCTATCTGCCTGTCTTCCCCACCACATCACGACCCTCTTGCCCTTCCATTCATTCACGCATTCGCGTAGTCCAGTACCGCATTCATGCATGCTGTGCTGGACGACATGCTGTACCGGGTGCTCAGGCTTCCCCAGTAAGCAAACTAGATGCTTAGAGTTTAGTGGGGAAAACAGACAGCAATAAATAATCCCACAAATACACAATTACAAACTGTGATAAGCACAGTAAAAGCAAGAGTACAGGGTATCATGAGAGTTTATAATGGAGCTTCCAATCTAGACTGAATGTCAGTGAGGGCGTTCTTCAGGGAGTGAGGCACGCCAGGTACAAGAAATATGTCGTCAGAGACTGTATGGTGAAAAAGAACACAGTGGCGTTGAACCAAAGGTCACTGGAAGTGTGCTGGAGCTCTCTGCAGCAGGGAGCAGGGCCAGCAGCTGGAGACAGGGAGGAAGGGCCCGCTCCTGCAGAGTTTATGGCCCACGTTAATGCTTTTGGATTTTCTCCTCACTGTAGTAAGGGGGGTAGTGGTGGTGGTGGGGATGGATGATCAGATCTGTTTTATTTTACATTTTCTTCTGGTTTTAATGAGATACAATTGACATACGGCACTGTATAAGCTTAAGGTGTACAACATCAAGATCTGATTTACAAACATCACGAAATGATTATCACAGTAAGTTCAGTGAACATCATTTCATATCGATACAACATTAAAGAACTAGAAAAAACCTTTTTCCTTGTGACGAGAACTCAGAATTTACTCTTAACAACTTTCATAATATCATACAGCAGTGTTAACTACCTTTACCATGTTCTACATTACATCTCTAGTACTTATTTATCTTATAAGTGGACATTTATACTTTATGCCCACTTTCATCTAAGTCCCCCTCCCCCACCCTCTCTGGTAGCCACAAATCTGATTTCTTTTTCTATGAACTTGTTTGTTTTTGAAGTATAATTGACATACAACACTATGTTAGTTCCTGGTATACAACATAGCAATCCCATATTTCCATACATTTCAAAATCATCAACATGAGAAGTCTCGTTGCCATCTGTCACCATATAAAGACACTAATTATTGACTATATTCCCCACACTGTATATTATACATGTATTTTATTTATTTTGTAAGTGAAAGTCTATACCTCTTAATCCCCCTCACCTATTCTCCTCCCTCACCCCCGGCAACCACCTGTCTGTTCTCTGTGTTTATGACACTGTTTTTGTTTAGTTACGTTTGTTCATTTGTTTTGTTTTTTAGATTCTATACATAAGTGAAATTACACAGTATTTGTCTTTCTCTGATTTATTTCACTTAGCATAATACCCTCTAGGTCCATCAATGTTGTCACAAATGGCCAGATTTCATTCTTTTTTATGGCTGAGTAATATTCAGATTTGTGCTTTTTAAAGACCGTTCGGCAGGGATATGGCATAGAGAGCAGGAAGGGGGAATGCAGGCGGGCAGCGGTGGCAAGGAATCAGGGATGCAAACCCCCTGAGGCAGTCCAGGGAAAGACAACAGTTACTCAGACTACGTTGGGGCTGGCATGAATAAAGAAAAAACTGAGAGATATTTAGGAGTTAAATTAACAGAACTTGGGGATGAATATGATAAGGTGGGCGAGGACCAGGAAGGTGTAAAGGATGAGTCCCAGGTTTCTGGCCTGCACAGTGGAGCCGGTGCCACTTCCTTCACCAACTGAGTGTACACCAGAGAAGGAAAGATTACGCCTCTGTTTCCATATCTACTGTCTTCTCTGTCTAGAAAGACTTTCAGCCCCTTGCAAACTCATTCTTTAAACTTCCGTTAAGACAAAATATCCCAGGCTCATCATGTACCTCTGCTCTCCCAGTGTGAAATCAGCCATTTTCCCAAGGAGCCCTAGTTCCTCCAGTGGAGAGTGGTACTCAGAAGCCAAGATATGTGTGCGAGAATCATTTCTTTTGAGGTGTTGCTGCTCCCAGACCCTCTCAGTGAATAGAGCCAGGAAGTATATGTATGTCTACGTATATACAAACTTGTATTTATTTCTGTATCTGCTCATCTATCCAGCTATCTATCTACCGTACGATACTGTCAACTATGAATTCACACTGACAGCTTCAATTCCAATCCCAGCTTTTTATACCTCCCTCACCTGACAGTGAAAAACCTGGCTCTGATTATTCTCAACATACTTGGTTATTGTTTGACCCTGTGTATGGAGCCAATCTCCCAGCCCCACTGAGTTGCTGCTGTCCTGTTTGAAACCAGCTGTGCACAGGCTACCACTACCGCCCCGCTAGGGCCTGTTCATTGACTTGTGGACAGAAGACAGGAGGGAGGGAAGGAATGAAGGGCTTTTTAAAAAAACATTATTTTCAACTATTGCCCCAATGTATAAAGACTGCGGTTGCTGTGACTGTGTCATAATGACCACCACACAACTGGTTTCACTGTCATTTAACAAGGACAAGGAAACAGTGGCCTCAAATTATGTAAATATCATGTGTAAATAACTAAGGGGAATAAATACTATAACAATTTGAACTTACTCCTCTAGCAGCAAGTTCCATTTCAGTACTATCCCAGTGATCAGTCTGCTCTAAAAAATAGATCATTTCATCAAAAACATCTTCAAACTTCTTCGGATTCTGCAGAAGAAAACACACTTTAATCTTAAACGCAACTTTAAAACAAGGCTCAATACTACAAAGTAAATAAGCTACTCTTCAAGTAAGTTTATTAGATCTTCATGCTGGAGGTAACTGAACCAAAACACATTTTCAGTGTATGCCACATTCATCTGGTTTCATTTTGTTGATCCAACTTCTGAAGAAGCCAAGACTAAGAATGTAAGTAAAATGTTTCATGAGCAAAATGCTTACTATTCAAATATATATGCCTATGTAGGTCAGTCCTTAGGGTGAACAGATACTATGTGATGCTTTTGATGTAGTTCTACGCCTTTTGGAAGAATTCTAGTTCAAATCCGTGGGTTTATCTGCCTTGGGAAGGCCAAGAAAGTAACATAAGAGTTACACTGGGAATTGCAATTGGTTAATATCACCCTACATTTATTTTGCACTTAAAAAAATTGCTTTCCCATTTATCATATATTGAATCACTATAAGAACTCTTTGAAATAAGATACCATAAACATAATTCCATTATACAAATGAGAGAACTGAGGTTGAAAGGTTGGGTCTGAAAACCAGGTGTTCAAATGGCTCAATGGCCTGTTTAGTTTTGTTTTTTCTCATCGTCTGGACACACCCTGCACAAAGGAAAGTGGTTCCTTACAGTCTTTATCAAGTTCTTGCCATTGCTTCTGCCTCATTCATTCCCATGAAGATGAGTAAGAGTAAGAGGCAGCTAGCTCACTTTGTATTTCCATGTTTCTGAGATCTACACTATTTCCTGGAACTTTTTTACTAAACAGGATTGAGGCAGGTAAGAGAAGAGGTTATTAGAAATAATAATAGTGGTGGCTGTAGTAGCAGATCTGATGATAATTCTCACCATGACATTCACACATTTCATAGCAAATTGGGAATCTTTTTTTTTAATTTTTAATTTTATTTCATTTTCTTCCCCCCTTAATGGAGTCACTGGGGATTGAACCCAGGACCTCATGCATGCCATGAGCTATACCCCCCCAGCCCCAGGAATAATTTATCAACTTGATCAAAACAGCGTGAACTTTATACCTAGAAAATAAATCAACCCAAGTAGAAATCAATGGTCTTCGGGTTATTTATTTGCTTATTTATTTATTTATTTGGGGGGAGTTATTTATTTTTTCTTTTTTTTTTAATCTTTTAAAAAATTTTAATATATGAACCTTCGCAACTACCTGCAAAACATTCTCTCCTATTAAAAGTGTAATATATTTTAATCTTCAGTTCAACTGAAACAACAATAAAAAAAACTTGCCACAAAACAAGTTTACCTTTCGTGCTCTCACAATTAATGCTGATAAAATTTTCCTTCCACTTTCAGCAAGGAATATCCTGTTGGCTGTTTCTGAAAGAATTACCTGAAAAAATGTCCACCCACAAACAAAGAAAAAAAGAGACTTGTAATTAATTTGAATGGATATTTGACGTTACAGCACATCTATGCATAAATAACCCTAATATAGTCAATGTATTGTATGTGACACTATTTCAGCAAGAAAACCACAGAAAAAGTCCAAATTTACTAAAATAAAAAGAGTTCTTGAACCTATACTAATAAGAGAGTAAAGGGAGATAGATCTGAACTTAAATCCTGTTCAATATTAGAAAATCCAAAATAAACATTATATAGCTTCAAAACATAGAAAAATAAAGATAATTTTATTGTTAAATGACCCTATTTCATTTTAGGAAACCAATGATTTCACAACTGATTCAAATGAAAAATGTTAGAACACATAGTAATTTATAAGAAAGAGGACTTCTATTTTAAGCAGCCATTTGAACACACACATCTCTAGCATCAAAATGTCCTGTTTGGCAGAATGTGGCAGACCTGGGAAGTCACAGGAGAAGACAATGACAAATGAACACAAATGAAGGGAGAAAGCAGGCAAGAAAAATAAACTTGGAAGACTTTTTATTTGCCATTAGGAATAAGGATAATAGAAAGTAGAGAGCTGCTCTGCTTATATGCAGCTGGACTCTACAGCATGAGGGTGGGGATGAGTGGCTGGGTGAAGTCACTCAATGTAAAAAAAAAAAAAAAAAAACCTGAAAAGCCTGTCGAATACAGTGAAGTTTGGCAAGAAAATCGCTGTCTCCTAGGCACTCCAACATTTCAGTTCTAAGTAATAAATGGGAAACAACTGTTAAACTGCATTCAGGATCAAGCAAGCCTACTACATATTTGGGCTCAGGACCTTCATAAAAAACACATGTTTTTTCAATACTGATAAAATACGTCAAAAAAATTTTTTGAGCCTAAAAACATATTTCCCCTTTTTTCATAAACATTTTAAATAAATATCAGACCAACAAAGCAATAATACCTTACTCTTTTTCATAAAGACAAACATGGTACCTAAGCACTCTTGAGTGAATTTTTCCTTCTTCAACTAAATGCATGGCTTCCTCGTAAAAAGGGCAGTGGCAAAGAGACTCCAGACTGTAGGCATGCCGCACTTCTCTGTGTTCTGCAAGCTAAGAATACAGTGGGTTAAAACAGACTACACTGATATAAGGAGAAAAACTAAAAGACAGAAAATAGGATCTTGCTATATTACTATCTGGCTAATAGACTCACTTTGATTAAACTGTGAAAGTAATTCAGTAAGATTTTATGGCTCATAAGATCTGAGTTCATTTTATTTCACTTTATTTAGTTGTCAAAAAAAAAAGAGTAAAACTTCATTAACAAGCTTAATTCATTTAGGATCCAACTACTTCAATTCACAGGATGCACAGAAAAGCAGTATCTTACAGTTCACCAACAAAAATAACTGTCTATCCTTTTTATTACAGCTACCCTAGTGGGTGTGAAGTGGCTTAAATTTCTCTAACAACTAATAATGCTGAACATCTTTCATTTCCTTATTGGCCCTTGTATATCTTCTTTGAAAAAATATATATATTCAAATCCTTGGCTCATTTTTAGTTGGTTTATTTGTCCATGTATTGTTGGGTTGTAAGAGTTCTTTATATAGCCTGGATATAGGACCTTTATCAGATACATGATTTACAAATATTTTCTCCCATCCACAGTCTTTTTACTTTTTTGTTGGTATCCTCTGAAGCACAAAAGTTTCTACTTTTGATAAATGACAATTAATCATTTTCCTCTTTTGTCTGTCTTAACTTTTTATTTTGTGCAGAACATCAAGGTCAGCCAGAGGTGAGAGGTTAGGGACTTCTAAGGTCTTTCCTGGACAGGTATATAACCCGGAACATGCTTCTGGCTCTTCTAGATTCCCAAGAATATGCTGGAGCTTTCCAAGCTCCCTATAAACACCTCATTGCCCAGTTTTTCCTTTTAAGTTTTGTGGTCAGCCCATCTTGTTAGCCCCACTGGTAACCCCAACCTCGGGCAGCTGCACTGTTAAACAATTAGCACTAGCTGTTTTCAACGAAAGCTCCAGGGATAGAAATTTTGCACAGAAGCAAGCTCTAAGTCAGGTCAAATAAACACAAGTCCTGAGAATGGAGCTTTGCAGGGACCTGCCATACAGGTCAAATAGTGACAATTCTCTAGTGATGGGAATTTTGGGAAGCTCCAAAGCCATTAATTTTCTGCCAGGGGCGGCTGGTCCCCTGATTTTGACAGTTACCACAGCTGTGAGGCTGTTGGTTTTCAAGACTAACTGTGGAGAGAGGGATGGAATAGAACAAACTAAAAATTCACAAAGTTCACTGCTCTTACAGAGATTCAACCATTTTCTGAATAAATGCTCCTTGAGTTTTTGCAAATGTTTAATTTTCAGAGTTCTGAAAATTCTGATTTCGCTGATCTTTGCCAGTGTTTTCCTTGCTTTTGTGGAGATCTCCGGAGGTTTTTACTCTACTATTCTGGAAGTGTTTCTCCATGCTGTAGTTCTGATCCTTCACGTGTACCCAGTGCTGTGCTAAAGCTTTAACTTGATTATCTCATTTCTTTACAATCACTCATAAAGTAGGTGGTCTTATTAACCACATTTTACAGATAAAGGAACAGAGATGTAGAGTAGCAGGAACTTGCCCCAAGTCCCACAGCTAAATGGTAGAATTTAAAATTTATTCCAGAGCTTTTATGCACTTTTAAATACCAAACTATACATGCCCTCCCATCAGCCTTATCCAAAAGTCCAAAGGAGAAGAAGTTTAAGCATTAGAACTATTTAGGATAGTATAAATATGCCTATTCATCTACAGGCAAAAAAAAAAAAGGTAAACAAAAATGACAGTATCTGACATTATATATTACCTGCTTTAAATAACATTTCCCCTCATATATTAAGAAAAATATATTACACTAAAGATAAAGTGTTTTTGAGGTAAAAAAAAAAAGGTAACACTTTAAAAAAATTACTTAGAATGGAAATTCTTTAGATATTAAATAGTTTAAAGTTCTGTACCACTGTCAAAACAAACAGAATCTATGGACACCTACCAGTAGAGAAAAATTCTGAGGAGGAAACTCTCTACACAAAATAATTTATACTAATAAGAAGTGAACAAATTCAGTAATGAGAGATTCCGAGTCAGGTCTTGATTCATTAGTCTACCTTGCTCATTTGTTGATTTGGCTTCAGTGATCACCAAACAAGTCTCTTGAAATAAGCCTGCAGCTGAGAAAATACACCACACAGAAGGTCTGCTGCTAGCCAGCATCACCAACTCTCCCCGAGACAATGACAGCTCAGAAACATTTATTTAAACCATCAGTCTGAGAATTTTTAAAATAAAAAGCAAACCACTAAAATGACGGCTTAAATTCTCATTTTAGAATATATCTTATAGGAAGAATTTTTTTTCCACAAAATTCTCGAAAGCTTTTAAAAAGCTATCAGAAAAATATTAACATTTTACCAGAGCAGAGATGTTACTTGAGAAGCAGAAGTCAGTAACAGTTTAATCCCAGCATATGGAAACATGCAATTTACCGTGAAAAAGGGTTCTTTTCTTTGCTAACTGAAAAATGAAATGTCCTTTATTTCTAAATCATTCTTTTCCTAAAAGGGCGTATTTCAAAAACTCTTTTTAATATTTTCAAAAAGAGAAGTAACACGAGTCTCAAGCACCATAAAAATGACCATGTAAGAAATCAAACAAGTTAACAACAATAGGAACAATAGAAACAGACAAAATAGATAAAACCCATCGATGAACCAATCAGTGAAAACAACGTTCTGGGATTAGCTGAAGATGTCAAACATCCTAAATTACTTCCTCCTTGCCCTCCACAAGGGGCAAGAGGGACTGGGCCTTATCTCTCTCGGGAAGTAATGACTTTGCTGAATGTGAAATAATATTTGTAAAAGCCTTATTATTAAAAGCCTCTAAACAACCATAAAAGAAATGACCAAAGTCCTAAAACGACTATAAGTTGGGTCATAAAAAAAGGTTAAGTTCGATTTTAATATGGACTATTTTTTCACATTTACATTTTCCTTTCAAAATAACCACCTAAATTACAAAAAGGACTTAACAGTTAAAGAAATCAGGCTGAATACATCTCTTATCACACTAATAGAAAAGAAATTAAACAGGAAATAAACCCATAATAACCACCTTCTAAAATGGCCCTCAAGGACTCTCTCCTCCCGGTACTTCATGCTTCATTCCATGCTGAAGAGGGCTAACCTGCAGAACCAATAACATACTGTGGAAATGATGGAGTGTGGTTTCTGTGGCTAGATCATGACACTCACTGCTTCTGTCCCACTCTCTCGGGGAAGCCAGGTGCTATGCTGTGGAGAGGCTCAAGCAGTCCTATTGAAAAGTCTATAAAACCATAAAAACTTAGGTTTTCTACCAATAAGGTAGCATCAATCTACCATTCATCTAAGTGAGGCTGGGAGCAGATTCTCCAGCTCCAATCAAATCTTCAGATGACTGTGGCCCCAGCCAACGTACCTGACTACAACTTTGCAAAAGACCTCAAGCCAGAGCTACCTGATAAGCCACTTCCAAATTCTTGGCCCTCAGAACAATGAGACAAAAATGTTTACTCTTTTGTTGAATGGGGAACAATGCTTTGTTTGGGGCAATGGGCAGGTGTTTCAGTCTCAGAATTTCTGGAATCACTTCTTTGTGCCAACAACTTCGGTGACCTTGAGCACACTGAACTCATACAGTCTTGCCCAGGGGCGAGCACCTGCCCACTGTGACAATGGCACCAACCTGGATGTCCCTGAAGCAGGGGCACAGTGTATGGACATGTTCTTATGGCACTTCTAGAAGCGGCTGTACTTCTGGATGTAGTGGAGGTTGTCTCGGCAGACGACAACAGTCCTCTGCATCTACATCTTGGTCACCATGCCAGACAGGACCTGCCCTCAGATGGAGATTATGCCCGTAAAAGGGCATTTCTATTGCCTTCAGTGGCCTCCCCAGGTGCCCTGAAGCCCAGATCAATGTTCTTGTGTTGTGGGAGCTTCTCCTTGACAGTTTCTCCAAGGAGGACCCTCTTTTTACTTTGAATGAAGGTGTCTGCTGCTTGTGGTAGGCATGCTCAGTCCAGGAGTCACTCCTTATCTGATACATGCAGCTTCAAAATTAAATACCAAAATGACAGTCTCCCTGGATATTAGCCCTTAGGACCCAGTTCTCATAGGACTAACCCCAAGGCCCAAGACCTCCAGAAAAGCACCCCATAAACCTTGAATTTTAAGAAGGTGACTCCTAAAATTCTTGAGCCTCTACTTAACTCCAAGTGTGGAACCCCCAGGATTCAGAAGGCTCCACCCTAGATTAACACAAAGACACATGCCCTTTACCTTATTTAACCCCTAGGAAATTGAGGACACCAGGAATTAACCCCCAAACTGGGACAAGGAGTCCCGCTCTCCGGGACACACCTCTGAAGATCAGGACAGAATCTACAGCCTTGGCACCAGTCCCCAACCCACACCTGAATTTTATTGGTTTTAGGACACCAAGTTTGGGGTAACTTATTACACAGCAACAGATAACTAATGTAACAGTGGGAACAATACTAACAGCAAAAGAAAGATACATATATTTCCAAAAACTGGAAAGCAACTGGAAGTGTGTGGTCAGATGAAATAGATGAGGAAGCCATGGACCAGAATAAGTTGACAGGGAGATATGGTCAAGAGGGAGACATTTGCTAAGCAGAGCCTCAAAGAGCACCAGGCTTACAGAGGGCAGGTACGAGGGCAGGTACAAGGGCAGGACTGAAGAAGGAGGATTGAAAAATGGGAGCTTTTAAATGAAAAGTCTGTGTCCAAACAACTGTAGTAGTCCTGTATCTTATTCTACTGTCTGCCCTGAATAGGAAGGCAGCTTACAGAAAAACAAATTTGCAACCAAAGAACATTTGTCTTTAAAAATTACTTAAACTACCTAAGGAAAGTAAGTCTGGTAGGGTGGGTGATGAGCCTCCCAAAGTAAGGCCCTCATTCTGTACCCAGGTGTGTCCCGACCATTAGTCTATTTCCAGACCATTCATCCTAAAGAAAAGCCTGCCAATCAACACAGCTCAA